GATACCCTTAAACAAGTATTAAATCTCCTCAGGTTCCTTCAAAGAATAGGCTCATTTGTCATCGTATAAACCTTGACAGAATGCCGTATTCATTCATGAAGTGTAGTGCGAATGATGGCTTTAAGCCTCTTTCAATTTCTAGGTCTCCTGTTATCTGATCCAATGTCTAACATCTCTGTTTCACCAAGTTGATACCATATCACTCATTTACTGGCTCATAAGCAGTAACATAGAGACAAATAAGGAATTTCCTCACATGTGTGAAGTTTTATTGAAATCTATCCAAAATCACATCGAAAGGAGTGGCAGCGCATGTTTGACTCATGAGCAGCCAGTTGTGTGGCGTGTGTTACGGCACTCACCTGGTTTCTTTGAAGAGTGCCCTTCCTCATTCTCTTTCATCCCTGGGAACATAGATCACAGTTTATTGCAGCAGCTGCTGAACGGTACTACGAGGTGAGCCCAGGGCTCGGCTCTCAAACACCATGTGCCGGGCCTTTGTAAAGCCTCCATCTCAGGATAAAAGGACTGACCTCAAGTGTCAGATATGGTGGCAGTTCTGAAGCAATTAGACTTCTTTTTGGTGGGAGAAGCGTCGTTTACCGTTTTCTCTGCATCAGAGATGATTGGATTCTATTTGTGCTGAGCCCAAGTTTTGTCCCCCACGGTGACATTGTATAAATGATAAATGCTGTATCCCTGTGTGGGGAGTAGGGTGCAGCTCAGCTCTGCTGGGCTGGAACATTCCTGATACAAACTGCTTTTCCTGACTCACCACCTGAAACCACTCGCCTGTCTTCTGGGCCCATCATTTGCGACAGCAAACACTCATGTGCTCTCGAGTCTGGGAGCAGGCAGGGCAGTCGCTGCCTCAGGGGGGTGGCTAGCACATCACCGCACATTTCTGCCAATTCCCTTCAGACCACTGCAGCTGTTCAGCATGGCACATGGTGATTAAGAGGCACCGAGAGGGAGCATGTGTGCCTGTGCGCCTATGTGCCTGTGTGCACGAAAGCTGATTAGGGCAGCCTGTCACAGCTTAAGCAAGATAATGGGGGTAAAATCGTCTTCTCTGTCCAGACTATTATTTGACCATCCCAGAGAGTCTATAATATGACAATTTTGAGTAGTTTCTAGAATGCAGAGAAATAAGATTGAAGGTAAACTGCAAAGGTGCTTTGTTAGATTCAGTGGCCTCCATTTTAGTTATGGAAATTTACTTTGATTCACTCCCAAGATTTAATTCTGGCTAAATGCCTTAATTAAAGTAACTGTGCACCTCCCCGAGCCGTGGTTTTATCACTGGTGAACTGGGAATATTGTTTGCCTTCCCCTCTCATGGGATTGTTATGACATTCTAGGATGATGCTAGTCCCTCCAGATGCCGGTAAGATTTTTGTTTCTTTTGTTTAATAATGCTGCTTTTACTTTCATATAGAATCTAGCATACCTTTACTCTTTTGGTTACGATTTTTTTTTTACTGGCTCTGAGGTCAAGAATCAGTGTGCAGCTAATTTAACTGCTGTCAGCCCATTTTACAGACTTTGTGATACCTGGTTAGAGGTGGCCTCAGGGTTCCAGCTTCTACAAAATGAGTACCCGCTTATGCTAAAGTGTTCGAATGTGTGTTTTCTCTGATTTGAGGGAGAGGTAGGATATGAGTGTATCCTGGAAGTGTTTCAGAAGCTGTTGGAATTGCTATACTGCCTGGTGGAACGCCCTCCTCATCCCCTTTTTACAATCTACCATCTGTGCTTTCACTAAAATCTTGACTAAGGAATATGCATGGTAAAGAACAGTCTTGCTAATTTCTTCTGGGTTCTTCATGGCACAAGTATAGTGGAATAATGGAATCCATGGTGATTTCAACATGTCTTTTAGTTTTCCAGAGTGCTATTATCCTAGGTGTGTATGAGATGGTGAGGCTGATGCCTTCCTTAAAAAAAAAAAAACCCTACGGTTCTCTTCTCACAGCAGGAGCAGTTGCTTTCCTTGTTTACACATTTTCTCTTAATGCTTAGTCAGCCCATGGAAAGCAAGTTTGTGTGCCTGTCATTTTTCTCTCAGTGGAATGAGGTAATCATAACTGGGATCTTCATTGGGAATTTTTCCCACCTATCTCAGAATCTCTAAAGTAGAACCTCAATATTTCTGATGTGTGTAATACAGCATTTACAAATGACGTAATTGCAGTCATCACCATGGGAACGACTGTGTTCAAAGTTGGAACTTGTTTAGACAATCGAAGGGTCAGAATGGTGGATGAGATGGAATTGCATGAATCCAGCGTGCATGGAAGCTTCTGCAGTGGCAATAGATGTTCAGTCCAGGCTCTCCCATCTCTAGCAACCTCTGCCCATATACATGTCTACTCCTTAATTTTTTTTTTCCATTGTTACTATTGAATAATTAAAGTTTGGGAATGAGGCTTATTTGTAAATAGCTGACTTTGTATGGTTTTCATGCCATCGAAAATTGTTCTGTGAACTAGGCTGACTCTTTAGGCACTTAAAACTGGGCATTTTTCTTGATAAATGCGGATATTTGGGAAGTTATGGAGCTATAAATAATATAGGAAGTTATTTCAAATTCATCTTGCTTTAGATTATTATTCTCTTTGAAACCTATCTTTCCTGAGATCCATACTTAATGCTGTTGGAGCTTTTTGGGGATGGATGGAAATGATCTCCACGTATGCCAGACTTAGAAATCTGGCATGTTCAGAAGAGAACTCTTGATATCCTGTCAGAAAAGCTGGTCTCAGTGTTCTGGGAGTCACACCACTATCTGTTGCTGTGGGAGACATCTTTGACACCCTCTCTTCCCTTACCCTTCAGTCCAGTCCCTGCATCACCTCCTGCTGGGTGTATATATGAAGGTTTCCTCTCCTTTTCTGCTGCTGCCTCCTCTTACATCTCCTCTCATCTGCATT